TATAATCACTCAAAAGACAGCAACAATAAATTCAGAAAATAAAGAAACCACCCTAAGAAAAATCAACTTAGATGAATTGGATACTTTGCGACAGAGAGTATTATCAAATAACCCGGAATTGACCACAGAGATGATTTCCAAGTCCCCCAGTTTTTGGACAATTTTACTTTATTGCCTATTGGTAATTATTTTGGGATACTTCATCACTAGAAATATAAGAAGACGACTGTCCAGACGAAAAACCAATCCAGATGCCATAGATCTTCAAGAAGTTCATCTTCCTTAGCTGTCGTCCTCGGAAGCTGAATCTCCCAGGGGAGGAATTATCTCACCTATATTGATGACTTCCATATTAAAATTGTGGAATAGACATATTATTGTTATAAATAGGATTGTTAGTGCTGCCGAGAGGCTTTTTGCTGCTTTTAGCCATTGTAGAACGTTAGTCCGTAAAATAAATTGTCGGTATTTTCAAGTTGTAGTAAATAGTAAAAAAATAAAATTTTTTAAAAACGTATTTTCCGTGAGTGAAAAGTTAATTCTATATCCGTTTTTATTGGAGTAGAAATAAGCTTTAAAGATTTATACCGGATCATGCTATTAATAGGAGACATTTGTAATAGTGATTTATACTGGATAGAAAGGAGATATTACCATCCATGTTTCATGTTAATCCCAGCATAGGTTGATCATAACGAGAATAGCGCCGCTTTTTTTGTATTTTTCTGCTAGGTAATATAAAAGGATTGCAGTGAGTAACGGCGTGCAATCAACCCCGAGTCGATACATTCATTTTTTTATAGATATATTTTTCTAAAAATTTTAAAACCTGTTATTTTCGCAAGAACACATGTACCAACGTAATGTATTCCAGCGACTAAAATTCGGTTATGAATACTAAAGGTGGCGTTTTAGTCTTTTACTTTGGCCGAAATGCAGTAAGCGAGAGAAAATGGCGCGCCTAGAAAATATATCTCTAGGAGTGGCTGTAAAGCATACGTGACACAGTATCGGGACGTTGTGCCTGGCTTGTAAAATTGTTTTATGTCGCCCCTATCTTGCGAAATTTTTTACTCTGTTTACCTCCCAATTATATCGCATCGAAATAAACAGGATATTTTATGTTCTGTATCTCGCGTTTAATCAATAAAGTTTTTCGAACTAATAAATTTATAAATATTGCAATTGGAGAACGAAGTTCGCTGGATATAAAATCGATAACTCCTATGAAATATACTGAATTTTTACGGTGTTTTTACGAAATTTTCTAAAAGGGTTAACAAACAGTTGTTCATGTACATACGTTGGTACATAAAATAATATAGTATTTACAGCAAATATTTATTATGTACTTTATTATTAATATTTGTAGCGTAAATATTATAATAATATATCGCGGTATATGTAAAGAGTTAATTAACGCGGCCGTGATTAAAATATATTGGGCAGGGAAATTCAGCGATATAAACGCGTAGGTAATGTAAAATAACAAAGTAATAGTAATTGGCGTAATTTTAAATTCACGATTTCCTTAATACCCGTTATTTATTATAGGAAAATTATTAATTTATTTTATCCAGCCCAAAATTGAAATAGCCAATTGCAACACCGGCGCGATTTGTTTGCCATACAAACTATTCCAAATTAACAATTTGAATATTTTACATGGCGAATTATTTAGTGCGATTTTTTGCGATTATCCTGCAAAAAACTCCATTTTAATTACCACTCCCGATTTATTTACAACAACCAAATTGAATCGCAATTTAACATTAGCTATGTTGGTATATTAACGCTAAACTTTAAACTTTAACTTAAAAGGAATATTAGCTCACTTATTTTGTTGTTGGGAAAGCTGCTTAATTGTTCCAGAACTTCACTTCAATGCTTAAATTTCACATGCTGAAAAAATGCTACAAATTTTTCTCTCTACCTTTATAAACAACTTTTTTCTCTCTACTTTTATGCGCAAAATATTCTCTCTACTTTTATGCACAAAAATTTCTCTCTACCTTTATGAACAACATTTTCTCTACACTTTTATGCACAAAATTTTCTCTCTACTTTTATGTACAAATTTTTCTCTCTACCTTTATAAACAACTTTTTTCTCTCTACTTTTATGCGCAAAATATTCTCTCTACTTTTATGCACAAAATTTTCTCTCTACTTTCATAAACAATTTTCTTATGCATTAAATTTCAGCATTTTTACACACATTTTCATAGTAGGTACTGAACTTTAGCACTAAGCGTTACACAATACCATTTTATTACCACCGAAATGAAGATTAATTATACCGGTTGTCCCTCGGCGAATTTAAATGTAATACAAAGCGATTCGTCTTAAGTACATCGAGTTATGTATCCACGGCGGCTGCATATGACAGCTTTCGAGTTTAAATGACATAAAAACCAGTCACGGAACGTTGATAATAATGCCGCACACCACCACACGAGACAGGGGGAGAAACGGTACGTGAAAATAAGCGATTTGTGTGATCTGAATGCTTACGCCAACAGCGAAACATGCTCGTTGATATTTAGATAATAAAAAACAGTTGTTTGGACGCGGAATAACAACGATAAATAACTCCTATTTTACTCCAATTTTACCTCTCATCAAAGCGATATAATAAGAGAACCTCCCGTCAATCAAAGAATTCACTAAAGCTCTTAAAACATTATTTATACACGCTCAAATTAGTTAACCTTTAATCAATTCTGCCGTAAGTAACAGGCAGTTCAGCAAAGAACCGGATAATTACGAGTCGCTTGGCTTCCACATCGGCCGTAAAGTAGAGCTTTTTTCCGCTGAAAGCTCTCGCGCGGAGCGCGGGAAGGTCATTTTGTTTCCATACTTTTCCAAAGGCGAATCTCTTTACCACTAGCTGTTCCGGGGGTCCCCGGAGGACGGGCGCATAGCGGCGTACATAAAACTATACGGAGTGCAAAAGCCATCCCTGGTGGAATTGTTTTTTTTTTGGTTGCACTTTATTTTCCATGCGGGGTTAAATATTTTCCAAAAGTTTGAATCACTTTGATGACTAGTTAAAATGTAGTTAAAATTTATATCATGCTTGTACAAAATTCATACAAAAACCGCGGTTTTTTTTCTAATATTACAGCGAGATTTCGTAGAAGCTGGTTAAATGAAATTTCGAGATTATATGCCGCATTTTTATTTACGCTTTCTCCTTCTGCTCGTCTACAGGAGACAAATGTATAAAGCCGGAATTGAACATTTTCTAAATGGGGAACCTACGTCAATGGTGCTCTTTGCTTGCGGCTTTTAGCTCGAATTATTACAGGGGAACCGGTGAAAAGTACCTTATCAATTTAATGGAATAATGCTAGGAGGATTATTTAACTTGCACGTCTGGCGATATTAGTTTGGAGTAAATTCATTCTACGGATTAAAGACAAATAGAAGCGAATTTAATTAAAAAAAGCACTCTAATTTTATTAAAATCGAACCAACAGGTTAATCTAATAACCGGCAACAGGAAGAGGAAATTTTCAAAAATAAACCGCATTTATGCAAACTATAATGATTAATTAAGAGTAATCAACATCAATTGGTGTTAATTAATTAATTTAAAAGCCGCGTAACTTTACGACACATCACCAGTATTCGAATTTCCAATTAAAAATAATCACCAATAGGGCGCGCATTATAAAGTTGTGAAGGTATAATTAAAAGTTTCTCGGGGAGGTTTCAGGAATTCTTCCATAAATTTTAATAGATAACTATATTGTTAGCAAACGACGGTTGCTTAGGAATTTCGAAAGTAGTTAGGAAAATATGAAGAGATTTAATGAGTTCTGATCAAAGTTTCGTTGAACATTTCCATTCAGGATTCTATCGCCCGGAATATCTCGCCTATTCCTTTCGTGGAAAATTAGGTTAACCGAATACAATGATGTAATGCGAAACAGTTTGTTGTAATGAGAGGCGAGAAGCTAAAAAGTGAACTCGAAAGCGGAACGAATTAACATTCAAATTCCGATCGAACGCTTCCTTTTTGGTACTATTAAAAGTTGCGCCCGGAGTTGAGATGAATGCAACAAAAATTTTCCGAAGTTTCCTATTCACCCGCCAGTTTCCTTACAATCGGAAACTTGCTAACCCGATAGTAATTTCGCGAATTTCGCGAACCTATACAGGGCTTCTTCCAAAACGAAAAAAACCTTTCCAATAATTTATCACACGACCCATGTTTCCTATTAAATTTTATTTTTAAGGTTTGCTTGACAATGGAAGCGAAATATGATGGTTTGTGAAGCTCCCAAAACACCTTTCAATGTGACACCCTGTATACTTTACTATGCTATACTAAAAGCTCGCCGCTAATTCCAGTCGATAAATGTCAGTATTTACTTTCGTAATTCGATAATAATTCCGGGCGGATAAGAAATACGCGATATTGCTTTTTAGATTCCGTCCAATTACAATTCGAAACTCCGAGGGTACGCTCTCCAAAGTTTAACTAAATAATATCGGATATCATCCGAAGTTGGACGAAGTTAGTAATATTTTCGACTTAACAACTGCGACTAGCTGTTGTATTTGCTGTTTAGAGACAAACAGCTGCGGAAAATACTCCTCTGGAAGTTCGTCGCTTGATGAATTGCTGCGAAAAACGTTTTATCTTTAAAATTTAACGTTTTTAAGTTAAAAAAAATGCATACTTTATGAACAACGATTCGCATAGAGAGCGAATAAAATTATTATTTTTAAACGGACGTCGAGGCTTGTATACGTTTCATTTCCATTTACAATAGCGGTAAATTGCGTAAACAAAAGCTCGTCGGGCCAAAATTCATTACAAAATACCGTACTATTGTTTAAGACAAAGCTCTGAACGCAATTCCAACAATGGAACAGCCTTCAGATTACTCCTATTTCTCTAGTTTCTGTGCATTCCCAACTAACTGAAATTACTAATTTTCTCGTAATAAACTCGATTTTTGTTTTAATAAAATAATATTTCGTTCGCAGATGCATTTATCGGTGTTCCTCGCCGTTCTCTACTTCAGCGAAGTGTCGTTGAAGGAGCTGCGATCGCGGAACAAAATCAACATAATGAGCGCCAATCCGACCAATATCTGCAACTTGGAGCCCTCTCACAACGATAACATCCGGTGTTTCTGCACCAAGGACAAGTACCATCACGTTTCCTCGGCGGAGTGCTGGATATTCGGCGTCGTGACCAAAGACAGCTTCATCTGGGGATTGATAGTGGAAACCCAACCGTACTTATCCGACTTCAGCATCATCTCGAGCAAAAACGGCGAGCTGAGCAGCATACCCAAGGAGTTCATAACCAAGATGATATTCCTGAAGAATTTCACGATAACCTTCGGCGTGATCGGGGCCATCGGGAAGTTCGCTTTCGGCAATTCCACTTCAATTCAACGCTTAAAACTAGCCAAGAACCAAATCGAACACCTGGATCAGTTCTCCATATCCAATCTGCTGTCGCTGAACGAGCTGGATTTGAGCGAGAACAAGATCCACACGATCCCGTCGGTGGTGTTCCTGAACCTGCCGCAGCTGAAGCTGGTGCGTTTGAACAAGAATAACATCAGCAAGGTGGAGGATAAGGCTTTCGCTGGATTGGGCAACGCGCTCGAACTGGATCTCTCCGATAATTCTATTTGTGATATAAACAACATGACTTTCTTCGGGTTGTCTAAACTAAAGGTGATCGATTTAAGTGCTAACAGGATTATCGGCCTGACTTCGTCCATTTTTCTCGAATTGTGGGATGTAGAAGTAAGTTGATTATGTCTAATTTTCTTTATATTTACACTACAGAGTCTTTTGGATACAAAATTAGATATCTTCTGATGACGAATGGAGCATAATAATGCCAAATATTTGCTGTTTGAAATAATTAAATTTTACTGCAATTGTATAACATATGAAAAGTTTCTTACTCGGGCTAAAATTGATCGTTTAAAATTCCTCTGGTGTTTCTTGAAGCCGCTAAAATCTTTTCCGGGGTTTCATCGATAACGCTCTCGTTATTCCCGGTTCGTTTTTCTTAATTATCCCGGCGTAAAAAATTCTCACGTTGAAAACTTCCAAAATGTTCAATGCCCGAGTGAATAATTTCGATTTAATTAAATTCTGATTGAACAAAAAAAAACCAACCGCTATACAAAAGCCTTCTATGAACGTACATTATACATTTAAACGTCAAGCTATAAATAACCGAAATATTACAATTGAAAGTACAAAATGTTTGACAACAAAGCACTATTCGCCACTAAATTATTATATCACCTGACAAGCTTCCAATGCCAATATTTATATTAATCCTTTTTTATTATAAAGCCATCAATAACCGGGATTAGTTACACGCACGCATCCACTACATTATAAACCTATTGTTAAAGCGGCTTTTCAATAATTTACTATATTTACCCGACATAAATACACCCACTTTAAAAGCACACCGCATCGGCACTCCGGATAAATTAATTTTTTTCACCCATTCCAGGAGGTGTATTTGGACGATAACTACATCGAGTTCATATCGAACAGGGCCTTCGACGGGCTCAGATTTCTGAAAACGCTGAGCCTGAGAAACAACAGGCTGTCCAGATTCCCGGCCGGTTTGTTTACCAGCGTCTTCACCCTGGTCCATCTGGACCTCAGCAACAATAGATTGGAAACGCTGGTCTTCGATTCCATCGAGCAATTCTACAATAATCTGCTGCATAATGGAACCATTCAATTAAAAGGTAATCCCCGAGGAATTATTTCCGGTCGATTTGCCACTACAAAGTCTATCGTATAATTATAATGCATGTAGATGGTACTGGAGTTATAATTGGGTATATCGATTGGTGGAAATTAATTGATTGGTAGGAAATTTTTACAGTACATATATCTGTGTATTTCGAATTGCTATTTAACGAGGTGTGGGTTGTAACAAAGACCGAAATATAAGGAATACAGGCGAAATCGGAATAGCTTCCGACTAATTTTGTCGAATCTGGAATGTAACTTAATTTGTCATGCACGGGTCTGCTGAAAACGTTTGATAGTGTATGCCGATCACTCCTTGGAAGGTAATTGGAATCGGTGATTGTCTTTATACGGCGCTCCCGAACTTATTTATTAAACCTTCCCGTCAGATAGGGAGGCTTTTAGTATACCCGTCGGAGATGTAATGATTTATTTTATACCTTCAAGGGTTATTATGTTGTATATTTACCTATTTGTGAATAGGGTCAATTTGTAATTATGATGTTTTTTGCTTTTGCTTGAGTGATTTATCTACTCAAGGGTCAATTATTGCGTTTTCTGAACCCTTTATTTACTAAAAAAATCTATTTATATAACTAAAAGAGCCATTTATACACCTGTGCTGGAAAATAAATTGTGTTTCTAAGAAACCTAAAAGTCAATTATTGTCGCCTTGTAGATAACAAAGAATTTTTTTCGATCGAATCGAAATTTCCCGCTGAATAAATTCGATTGAAATCCGTCAAAAAATGATTTGCGAAGGGGAGTATTTTTTTAAAGAAAAAGTTAAATGGGATTTATGTTAATCGAATAGCGCTTATTCTTTAAGCGAAATACAACATAATTATATCGCGGCCTTGTTTAAAGAAAATAGTATTTGCATTTACAAGGATATTGAGTTATATGCAGGGCGTTACACTGATACTTGCTTTATTATCAATGCATGAGAATTTATTGATTTTGACTCGTATATCTATCGACTTTGCTGTTAGTTTAAACAACAGTAGCAGACACAGAAAGAGTATTTGTGCAGCTACATACGATACAACTACAGGTGTAACGTAATGAATGTATAACAACACTAATTACTAATTACGGATACAACACGTGTCGCTAAAAGTACAAAACTAGATCGCAACTAATCCAATTTAGTCGAAGTTGATGCGAAACACCAGCCGTATCCATAGCTCCTTGCATGAATTGCCATCTTTCAACGCCTTTAATTGTTAGGGCACACAACTTCTCGGTAAGAAACTGGGGAGTTATTCCGATTTGAGCGACGTATAACTGCAAACTTACCCGCGAAGTTACGACTAGATGCCCTATCTCGCGGCCGAGCGCATATCTCCCTGTCATATTTCCAAAACGGAAATGCAAAACCGGCGTGTATATAGTATGCAAAACTTTCCTACATAATTGCATCATGCACAGATATAGGTAAAAATTATTTACAAGAAATTTACTGGAGAAAGCGTAATACATGTATACTAAAGGATTTTATATAGTGTGGGTGTATTATGTTAAATTTTCACTAAACTAATTAAATGGAAACTGGGAATTCGCTTGTCCGATTGCGAATAAAACGAGCCGGAAATTCGATATCTGTTCGGCGGGATGTTTTGCGATTTGAATGCTCTAATCACCGATGGCTGACTCTAACTGGGATTTATGTCGTCGCTGGCAATAATCACATGCTCGCATCTAATCGAACTTCGCGAATAACAAATTTGAGCCGGCTTTATACATATGCAGTCGGACAGATGCAGTTTCTGGACGCGCTAATAATTAATTAGGAAAGCGCATTGTGCTGTTGAGTTTCAATTTTTATGACGGTGACGCGGGTGACCGTTCAGATGGAACGGGAATATAATTCGATTAATTCAACGGGGAGCGCTCGAAGAATACCTGCGAGAGATCTGGGGCTTATTTCCCCTTTTGTTTTTGTTTTATTTTGACTAAGTCCGCTGTCCGCGATACTCCGAAGTGCCATTATTCGACGGTTGTTCTCCGTCGAGCTAATTTATAAATTTAATTGTTCCGTTTTACTGGGTAAAAGGTTTTTTTCGGGGTCATAATTGCGACTGGTCGCTTTATTATACTGGAAATGTTTAATGACGATATTTCATTATGAGAATCCAATATCTATCATGCCCTTTTTGATAATAATATTTAATTATACTTTTATATTATAATGAAAAAAGTAATTTTTGAATGTTATTTTTAGAATACGCACAATTCCGTGTAACCTATATGTACATATCAATCTAAATAATTTCCATTAGTGTAATTGACCGTTCAATTTATTCGATAACATTTTTATCGTTGAATACGTTAGGAGGCAATTTATAATTTATTTCCATCTTCGTAATTTTATTTAGGCGGGAAGGATATACGATTAACTAATATTACAAAGTTTAATTGCCGCAAACGGCGTAATAATAATATTTATTAATCGTGAATAATTTTTTTTCAGTACCTAATATGTTGCATTAAAAACGTATTAGGTATAAATTATTTACTTATAGAATTTTGTGTGTTAGTTACTGTAATTTAACATTACATAGTAGTTTTCCATAACCTAAATTTTCCATTAGCATTACTCAACTTAAAATTAACTATTAATGAGAGTTACCCTAAAATTCGTGTGGCATATTAACTGAGGTCTCTTTCCTTCCTCGCATTATTTTAGGGAATATTATATGTAGGTAACACTGAATTGAATTATTTACTTATATCAGTTTTTATGTATGTCTATTTATAGTGTGTAGTATATCGTTGAGCTTTAATACCCACCCCCCATTTTATATATTTTCCAATATAGTCATTTTATGAAGAAAACTGAATTCAAAAGGAGCTTTGAGCGAATTCCGTTATGCATAAATACATATATTTTTATATAAATTCCAATATATTCTCTAAAAGTTCATATAAACAGGGCGAAAGGAATGGATAAGACGTAAATATTCCTTTTATTTATTTTTCGATTGCTACATGAACTTTTTCCCCGAGAGATATTTACGAATTTTTACACGAAAAATTAAAATTCGACGGTAATTGGACGGTTCCGAAAGACTCGGCAATCCCGTAATTGATTTTATTGGATTATTAAACCGAATCGATTAAATTTTAAATAATTTATCACCTCCCATCAGATTGAATATTGCCAGATTCATTATGAATTTTAGTTTAATTCTATTACTACCTGTTATTCGTAACCATTTGCCCCTAAATAATGCAGGCCACTTCGTGGAAAATTTAACATCCGCCTGTTGTGACATTTTAAGTGGTAATCCAATTTTCAGTATCAAATTCAGCGAAAATTGTCACTAAATCTATTAATAATCAATCGGCGTAAAATTTCAATGGTTTGTTCGAGCAAATTTAATTATGTACCTACACGAATTCGAATTCCCGCCTGAGATTCTACGGGAAATTAGATAATTGGACCGCTGCAGTTCTTGTTACATTGTATAAATTCAGCCGCAGCGTTAGAAATAATTTAATGCGGTTTTTAAGCTAGTCATCGCTTAACTCGAGCCTCCGCCATTTCACGCAATTATTAGCTTTGTTACTAGCCCTCGATTTGTCAAGTTCCCCAATTCTCGAACCGTTAAGAACATTGCAAACATTGCACAAACAGGATTTATCAAACGCAACACGCTGACCGAAATATTCAGATATTTTTCGTAATGAAATCCGCCCGCGTTTTCGCCGGAACCGAGGGCACTAATTTAGTCGAACTTTACCCGTTCGAAAGAGCTTTCTGATCCTAGTAGGAGGTTTTAATTGGCGCCCGCTGTCCGAAATTCCCGCTGAAATATCTGCTGTTAATTGTGCATCAAGAGCTTCGGGTACTCCGAGATTTCCTGGCTTTCAACTTCCTCCGAGTTGCGAACAGAACCGAACTCCGCCAGCTTATATCGCCTAATTTATCGTGGCTGTATAAAGTATGATTCAGATAGTGCGCTTCGGCTAATTTGTTTCTATCTATATGAGCGCGGGAGCTTTAACTTAACGTAATTATCCTTAATTACGAATTTTTACACGAAAAATTAAAATTCGACGGTAATTGGACGGTTCCGAAAGACTCGGCAATCCCGTAATTGATTTTATTGGATTATTAAACCGAATCGATTAAATTTTAAATAATTTATCACCTCCCATCAGATTGAATATTGCCAGATTCATTATGAATTTTAGTTTAATTCTATTACTACCTGTTATTCGTAACCATTTGCCCCTAAATAATGCAGGCCACTTCGTGGAAAATTTAACATCCGCCTGTTGTGACATTTTAAGTGGTAATCCAATTTTCAGTATCAAATTCAGCGAAAATTGTCACTAAATCTATTAATAATCAATCGGCGTAAAATTTCAATGGTTTGTTCGAGCAAATTTAATTATGTACCTACACGAATTCGAATTCCCGCCTGAGATTCTACGGGAAATTAGATAATTGGACCGCTGCAGTTCTTGTTACATTGTATAAATTCAGCCGCAGCGTTAGAAATAATTTAATGCGGTTTTTAAGCTAGTCATCGCTTAAATTTTAGTAAAAGATGTGAAGAAAGGTATAAGATATTAGGAGCACTTGTGCACGTTGAACTAATATTTCTGGAGCTTCTAAAATCCCTTTAGACTTTATTGGGGCGAATAATATCCCTAACCCGAGAGATTATTTTTCTATGCAATTTTTAAAAATTAATAAACAGATAATAAATTACCCAGCGAGTGTCGTAAACGTGATTATATCGTTCCATAACAGTTTATTACGAATTCCTTCAAGTTGCTTGGAGAAATCGAGATTTTATTCCTTTGCAGATTTATTACGTAATACGACCCTTACGTAACACAAATAATATTCGAAATTAAGATAAATTGGGGCGAAGGAAATTGTTCCTGGTTGCTGTTTTAAAAGCCGAGCTTAAAATAATTATTAATGCCCGAAATTTAATTGTGTTTGTCTTTTAGAGAACCCTTCATTAATGGCTTAACCAGGATTATCATCAATTACCCCACACAAGCTGCGGGTTATCGATTTTACCCTTTTTCCTCGGCTTTTATTATTTCGGCCTAATATTTAATAATATTTCGGGTTTGGGGGTTCATTCGAGTGCGGTTTATTGACAATTTTCTATACCCGGTGGTGGTTTTTCTTAATATCGAATTTGTCCACATGTTGTGTTCTAGTTAATTTCGACAATCGAAATTTTATAAGGGCGAATTAAAGTTCGAAGTTCAATAATAAATTCTTCAGTGCTATAAATCCTTTATATTAACGTCCTTTTAATATTGTCAGGGGGATTTCGGCAGGACGTAAATTTGAAATTTACGGTCGAATGTGCATCGTACAATCTATAAATCATGATGGTAGGTTTTTATAAAATAGAATTTTCCTTGTAATTAGAACGAATGCAGGACAACCTTGGAATGCAATTGCAGTTTCCTACAGGATATTTAAAACGAGCAATTTTATGTATAAGTGTTCCGCGGCAATCGGACGATTTATAAATTATATCTTTTTGCGTTCGAAGTATCCAGAAAGATTTAATTTCTTCTGCTAAAAGGCTTCTCGTGCTGTTCATTCGCATTTTCTTCCGGGATTTATATTTTAATGGGAGCGGAACTCGAATTTATTCGCATCACAGAAATTTCGTTTTCTGAGACGGCAAAAACGCGCCGATCGTGAGGGAAATTACTCATTATTCGCTGCGAATCTAAATATATTTTAAAACGAATTTTAATGCATAAATCGTATTCCAACAGATAGAAATATTGTAAATAATTTTTTCGATGTATAGGTGAAGAGACTTTTGAACATTAAATCGGATATGACAGTAAAGCGAATAAGTTCGGCTTTGCGACGCAAATACTTGAAGCACAAAGTGAATTTATATGGGTTTGTATGTACATATTTACGGTAAATAAAATCGCACAAACAGCTTGATTTATTCCGTTTCGGTTAACGCGATCGTTTTCGCGAATAGGTAATAACCGCTTATTGAATGTCAGCCCGTCCAACGGGTCATTCGTATTCCGCATTGGATATTCAGCGATACCCTGAAATATATTTGATAGCTGCCATTAAATCTCAGGGACCGGAGAGAGATTCCCGCGTCGTCCCGGCCTCCATAAATTCCCGTTGTCAATTTACCGATCTCGAGCTGATTGCGAATTGCTGAACTTGGTTTAAACATATTTCTGTAGATTTGTCACTAGCATGTTGCGATATTAATGCCGCCCGAATCGCGTGCTTACAATAGTTCGCAAGTATCCCAGTATCGATATTTTCCACCCTGAATAATTTCTATAGGTGCGATCTAGTGTCTAGTGTTTCATGTACATTTCTGCGTTCAATACACTCTAATTATTGGGTTTTACCAGGTGGAATGTTCGAAGCTATTTTTTAACTCTTTTTGTTTAGGCTCTTTACTTTAGATGTCTATTTTATTCTTTCGTCGCCGCAGATCCAACCCCCGGCTAATACAAAGGCGGTTTTGTACGTACGAGAATCTCGAAATCGAAATCCAATTTTACTGAACAAGATTGTAAACTTTCGACTACCTATTTCATCCCGGTTTTGTTCTTTGGAACTCTTTCGAACCGAATCCCGTGGAAAAAAAACTCCTTCGGATAGAATTATCATAAAGGCTGTGTTTTTTTTTGTCTAGAAAACGAATTTTTCGCGAAACTATTTAACTTGATATAGGAAACTTTTACGCCGGGTATTATTTTATCCCGCTCGAGATAGAGTTGTTGACAAAAAAGACGTTTTCAATTCCCCATCTATTTAATCTTTTAATTCGTTCTCCTGTTGACCTTAAAATATATTCCGCGGCCATCGATTAGAGCCGGAGGATTAGAGAAGACATATCGGGAAGATAAACGGCGCTTTTCCGAGTGATTTTTCCGCACGGCGATAATGATAAAAGACGATTTTGTCTCATTTAACTCAAGCCTCCGCCATTCCACGCAATTATTAGCTTTGTTACTAGCCCTCGATTTGTCAAGTTCCCCAATTCTCGAACCGTTAAGAACATTGCAAACATTGCACAAACAGGATTTATCAAACGCAACACGATGACCGAAATATTCAGATATTTTTCGTAATGAAATCCGCCCGGGTTTTCGCCGGAACCGAGGGCACTAATTTAGTCGAACTTTACCCGTTCGAAAGAGCTTTCTGATCCTAGTAGGAGGTTTTAATTGGCGCCCGCTGTCCGAAATTCCCGCTGAAATATCTGCTGTTAATTGTGCATCAAGAGCTTCGGGTACTCCGAGATTTCCTGGCTTTCAACTTCCTCCGAGTTGCGAACAGAACCGAACTCCGCCAGCTTATATCGCCTAATTTATCGCGGCTGTATAAAGTATGATTCAGATAGTGCGCTTCGGCTAATTTGTTTCTATCTATATGAGCGCGGGAGCTTTAACTTAATGAATAAAAATGTATCATATACACCGTCTATTCGAAATCAGTTTATTACCTCGAATTTCTCTTTATACACAGCTCTAATCAAGCATTTCTGTGCGAATGTTACAAAAAAAGGACTTTATCTTACCGAGCTGTATAACTGCAATCAAAAGTTATTTTAAATTTTATATGCAACGTTTCCGATACATTTTGCGCACACTGAAATATCATGCTCGCGTTTTATCGCCGATTCACCATTATTATTGATAGCAATAAAATAATAGCGAGGAAAGTTTGTTTCTTGAACGCTAAAACGTCGTTATAGCGTTGCTATAAATTCCGGAATAATAATATCCCTTAATATTCCGATGTGTGCAATCCAGATCGAAATCTCTACACAGGGTGATCCAAAAATGTATAAAGAAAAATTTCCATAGGACTATTACCGAGCGGCTAAATCTCCTATTCTCCTACTACTATCCTAATACTCTCCTAACACTCTCCTAATAGTCTCCTAATACTCTCTTAATACTCTACTCTCCTAATACTCTACTAATACTGTGCTATTCTCCTACTACTCTCCTGATACTCTACTGTCCTACTACTCTCCTACTCTTCTATAGGGAATATTATTTTGTTGGGGAATTCCGGTGCACAGGTTTGAACTCGACACTTAGACAAATGATATTTATAATGCAAGGCAAATCCGTGGTCGAATCAACCGAAAAATTCCTCTCAAAAGCGATCCGACAATGCTCCGAATATTCCCCCGTCAACAAAACAACGAAAAAAAAGCGGGGCTTTGTTCGCGGGCGATTCCTGTTGAATTTTTAATAAAGCGAACGGGGGGATGCCCCGTCGACGTCGTTACATTACGCCCGGTGGGGAATTTCGAGCGTAAAGTAACTCTGTGGAAGATCAGCTTAATTGAATGACTGGTCGGAAATTAATTTTATGCTTTTATGCGTACGATAAAAAAAATTAATAATTCATATTTGCGCGCGAGTGGCGCCCGAAACGCATAGTATTTTCTAGCGAGTTTTTTAAATCGACCGGGGGGGGTTTTAATTAGACATCGGCCCGTCGCAATCCCGCATAAGATAAGGAACTGCTATAAAAGCTGATAGAGCGCCCGGCGATTTGAATGTGAAAGCGATGTTAATTTTCCTATCGGTGTTAAATCTACATAAACGCGCTTTAATCATGGTTAAATCCAACATGTGTTCCCTAAGGAACAAGTTAAACATTAACAGTCACTTTGAGAGAGCGGGAGAATTAACGTGGATATATACAGGGTGGCAAATAATTTTCCTCTCTCGCTTTATATACGGGATGTCCAGGAACTACTGACGTATTTTTTAATAGTTAAAAATTCGAAATCGATTTATTTGCTAAATGGACGCTTGTGATAGTTGGATTAACGCAAGTGACAGCACGTATTGCATTTCACTCGAGGAAAATTCAATTAACTGTTGCGTAATTTTTATTTTTCTAACTTTCATACACGTTTTCTCTGTATACACTGACAGATTAAATTTCGAGCGATGTTACGACGTTAGTCCGTTCGCAAACTCGCCCTATTTTCCGATCTGAAAGCGATACGAAATGTATTTTTATTCTATAATAACAGAAACACGATTCGGTTTCAAATGTTTCAATTCGTCGGCGAATATTAAATAATTAAGCTTCGAAATTGTCTTCTTTATTTATTTATCCCGTTAATTATTATTTCCGCAAAAGCAAACTCGAGGGGGCCCGTTTCTTAATTAATATTTGTGAAAGAACGAGGCGTCGGTACGTACCGAAGAAAAGAAACTTTTTTCTCGTCGAGTTCCCGCGGGATCCTTCCGAAATTTAAAACGACACCAACAATCGCTTAGTAATTCATAATCGAGCGGAGATTTTAATTAAAAAAAATCCCCTCGCATTGATAAAAAATTTACTAATTCCAGGTAACAGATTCAGCTGCGACTGCCGGCTGGACTGGGTCTTCGTGCTGCACGACAAAACGGCCCAGGACGGCATCAGGAAGGCCCTCGAGCAGCTCGAGTGCTCCTTCTACACCGAGAAGATCCAGCCCAAGGACCTGGTGCAGGATCTGGTGTGCTCGCCCGGCCAGCCGCAGGCGAAGGGCGCCCAGGACGAGGACGAGGACAACCAGATTCGCGATCTGCACGATCACGGTAAACTCCATTTGTTAACGATACCGGCGAAGGAGCTGCCTTGCCCGCCGGAGTACAGGCCTACTCCTATTACCGTTAAACAGGGATCCCCTTTGGGAGCTGAAGTTATGAGCAGTGAAACGGGAGACGTTCGCGCGTATTGTTTGATCTACATAAGTGTGTTTACTTTGTTCGTGTAAAATATGGTTCTCTAATTATTTGTTCAGGTTGGTCCAGAAGTTTAAGACTGAAAATGAAAAACGAAAATAATATTTATATAACGTGTCACGTTGAAAATGGAACAGAGGTTGTTTCAGGTAGAAGAAAAATCTAATTTTTTCTATCCGAAAGCTCCACTATTTCCTTTTCAATGTGACGCCCTGTATAAACAACACTCAAATGAAGGATCTGGTTATAAAACTCTTTTCGGAATATTTGATGTTTTATATAAAACGATGTGATAATTTATAGTCATATTTAAATGTATACGGTTTTAAAAACGGGATTATATTAAAATAACCTAAGCGCACGATTTTTGAATTGAATCAATACTAATTTATAACTGGATCTAATTCGATGTAGGCTCAGAAATTAAATGCTGAACGTTACCCTGTAATATACGATTTTTTCATTGTACATATCAAATAACGTAAAACTAGATGGTTATGCACATTTTGATGTATTATCTGTTTAACTAATAAAGCTAATCTTCAAGTTATGTCTAGCTATTTCTTATTTACTCTCACGCATTTCCAAACCACATATTTTTAATGAAATCCTACACAAGTAATGCTCATTCATTGAGTCAGAATTTTAGAGGAAACGATATTCATCAATCGAGTTTCATCAATCGAGTTTCATCAATGGAGTTTCATTAATCATAGTAGAAAAAAACCACACTAAAATGTAGTTTCCCAAGGACTAAGGCAATGGGTAAAATTCTATTCATAAATCCGGGCTCATGGCAGGTATGTCAATTACGATTTCGACTTTGCCATGTATCCTTTAATGAAATTCTTCACGCGTCCATATTTTAATTAGAAATTTTATAATCTGATGGTGGAAGAGCGGGTTGCGATATTTGGGTTTCGTAATGTTTGCGTAGGCGATGAAAAAAAATTACGAATTTCATACGGTAGGAAGTTTTTTATTGGAAAAGTAAGTGGTGAGTAAGTAATGGAACTAGGCTAAAACGTTTTAAATTTATCGCCCCCGGAGATTTAACAATGCTAGGAGTTCTAGTTAATGAACTCAACAAGTTTATTACATTTGATTATGATCTGGTTGAGCTTTAACTTCACACTTTTAATCAGAGAAGAAATTAGTAATTTCCTTTTTAATGTTGTTCGAAAACTCTATTGTTAAGTTTAATACAATTCTCTTGATGTTCCCATTAAGTCTATCTAACTAAATGTGATTAAAGTAGGTCTAAAAAATTCGTCGTTTTAATGTATTTAATGTTACGATATAATGCTACACAAACACTCGAATAATTGAGAGTATAAAAATTTTCCCACTTAACAAACTTACATGTCGAATTAAAACTACTTAGGTTCCCAGTCTAGAACAATTAAATTATTTATCACATGTCGGTTTTCCACACAGAAAATCGCATACGAGTGTTTAATTTAAATAATTAAGCAGACATGAAGCTATTTTGGATGTTTCATGCGATAAATATGCATGAGCAAAAACTAAGTACTTGTTTAGTAAATATTTCTCTGCATTTTAATTTTTGAGCCAATTATATTACTAGAGACGAGAATGTTCATTATGAGTGTTTTTTTGGACCGACCTTTGTTGAACCTGAATATTAAGCTCAAATTAATGCTAATGGTATTGCCACGAAAAACAAGTGGAAACACTTCCTAACACTAAAATTTTTAACATGACATGCACTACAATATACATCGTAACATCGTATTTTAAATTATAAAAGTTTAATTACATTTTTTCGGGCGTTTTATTTAAGCTCCCGTCGAGGTAAAGTAAACTGATTTTTCGTATAATCCACAATCTAATTCTCCGATGGAAATTTAAAAATTTCACTCAGTTAGGGACCTTTGACGCCGCAAAGGAAGAGGCTGGCATCCTCGATTTGCCTCCGAAACGGTCCTGACAATAATAAAACTCGCAAAAAACGAAAGTATTATTAAGTTAAGAACTTTTCGCTATTAGACATGGTCGACAACACTAATCCACTGATTTAAACAAGGCCCGGAAAACTTTTTTGCCGAGGAAATTTTACATTTTACGGTTATATCCGAAGTTGTACACTAACCCAATAGACTGTATTCCGAGGAGTTTTCAGACAAATCTCGTATTCCGGCTACAATATTGTTTATTGAAAAATTGTATGTGTGTGTGGTAGTTCGATATCTGCGATTTCCAATGGAGTAGTCTCAATTATACGGAAGATATTGACCTACTTAATGTGCGTAGCATGTGTAAGTAAATTACCTAAGTAAATGATACGTTATCACGAATACAACCAACAATAATAATAGTAGTTTAATTAAATATACAAGGATTATTGCTTCCTATAATTCCCAAAGAATCGATTGAGTCGTACAATTTTTATTTTATTACTCTGGATATGAAGGTAAATTGAAGATACGAGACCCAATTTTTTGTGAGTACCTGTACAGCACAAGTATGAGCATCAATCGAGAATCATTAGTGAAATTTCATCAACCGCTTTTAATTAATCGAGTTTCATTAATCGAGTTTCTCGAGTAAATTAAAAATTTTCGACCGAATTTTTTGTGAGTGGAAACAAATTGCTCCTAGTATTTTACAGTTATGTTTCTGAATATAACTAATGTTGATTCGGCACTAAAAAATTTACATGAATTCCGCCGAATAAATAACACATAATTCCATCATACAACAATTTTAATCAACTTACAACATGCAAAAATCCACTTGGACGTTTCCTTTTTATTTCCTTTTTTTACCAATCTGTGGGACTTGTAATGAATAGGCTCCCGAAATGGATCTTATGAAATATGTACCAACGATTTGCATAAGAAAAAAAATATACCGTCAAATGTATCGTCGTTTGAATAAATACTTTTGCGGAGGCAAATATGAGAGATAGGCATTGGAGGGATTCGTGACACAGACAAATTACGATGGAAAAGGGGCGATTATAAAAATGTAATCAACTTGACCCACTTCGAGTTACCTACATAACGAAGTTACGTCGACATAAAGGGGAATATTTAATAATAAAATATAAACGCAATACAATAGGGAAATAGATTAATTCATTTTTATGAACAACAAAATATAAACCATTAGTTGATCCCTACATTAAATAAAATATACATAGGAATACGATGAAAAAGAATAACGGATTCAACGATTTAATAATTCAACGTGCATTTAACTATGGCCTGTTATTCACGAGATTCAAGTTTACATTAACACGTTTAAATAAAATATTAAATATAATCAGATTAACCAAACATATGTAATATTAAGCACCAAATGGAATCAAAACAGTATTTCGTAACTGTACATATTAATTGAAAATCCAGAAAAACATAAAATATTCATTTTAAATCGACGTTCCTCAACCCCTTCGAGAGACAGTTACAACCCCTAATTTTTTTAAACGGGAAGTTTGAAAGGTCTCTCATTATCTATTAGTAGCACCTAAAATTGTAATTTATCGTCATTTTAATTTATTTATTAGAAAGAATCACATTTTGAATAAAAAGAGTCATTATTTACGATGGGAATAAACTAGAAAACGCAGCTTCTCTAATTGGATCCATTTTTTTTTTGGTACAAACGACCCGTCATCGCCTCTTTTTTTCTAATTAAAAGAAACCAACGAGATTCAACTCCAATTAAAACCGTCCACCTGAAATCGCAACCTTCCAATCCGCAAAAAAAACTCAATTTTTTCGTTGCGCGAAGGCGAACCGAATTTTCCTTTAATTTGCCTTTCCCACGGGCGATTGCGACGCCCCGACCTTTTGATATCGAATCCAACAGGAACGCCATCAATCACGCTGTCATCCCGCTTTCCCGACGTCTCCGGAGCGGCCCCGGGACGCGAGCCATTTGCTTAGATTAAAATAAATATGTTCGAAGATTGATAAAAAAAAATATGACACGAAAACCCGGCTCGTGTGATCGAGGGCTACTTGAAAATAAGGAATTTCCGTACTGTTTCGTTATTACTCGGAAATGAACTTTTGAATCTATGTACTTTGAAATCTACTCTGGATTACTCTGGATCTACTCTCCATCTCTCTAGATGGACGTCTCTACGTTTGAATCTCTCTGGATCAACTCTGAATCTAGAGACTTTGGAATCTACTCCGGCTCTACTTTTAATCTACTCTGTATCTACTCTGAATCTACTCTACTTATACTAATTTCTTTTGGATATTTGTTAAGTTAAGAGACAAGAAAATTATGCGGCAATTACTGTCCATAAATACACATAAATTTAAAACGATGTTATGTAAATGTCTACTTATTTTCTTAATAGAAAAATTCCATCGAATCGCTCGATAAATGTTTGTTTCAATTTTAAAGCCATATATCTCACTCGGCGTAATTAATGCGGGCGTGTAGGTGGAGTCATTTCAACTTCTATTAAAACCACTATTATTATTATAATAATTTTTGAAAGCAAACTTCTATTTATGCGCGGAACTAAAACGTTACGGTATTATAATTACGTTAGCCGCCAAACTTCGTACTTCATTAGTTAAAAGTTCCGGAAGCGGAACGGAGCCCCGGCGAAATTCCTCTTTCGTTTATTGACTGTTTCGGGCGAAACAAACGCGCTTTTTTCCCGCGGGATTATCCTTTTTCCTTTGTTCCTCTGACAGATCAAATCTCTATACACGCGCCTGTTTAATTACTTTTCGCGGTTAATTAGATTCCAATGTTTCCACGTCGATTTGAAGGACTTCGATTTATTGGTAGCATTTTGAATAAATTTTTGTTGCGCATAAAATATTTCGAAGTTAAACTCAACAACACCGTCCGATCTATTATCGTTTGTTATGGCAACATTTCGCCCCGCAACACATGTAGTAGTGTGTTGTATTATTTAGTAGATTTAGGCTGCAAACACGAGGTATCCATTAAGTGTTTGCTGTACGTGTTTGTTTGCGTTAATTTGCGAACAGAACATTTTTTTGTTCAGTGGTTATCGTGAAAAAATGATGAATGATTTTAGTATAATTCCGGCTCGGATTTGTCTAATTCAAAGAGCGCTTTTCCCCAGCGCAAATCATCGGTTGAAGCTCGCAAAATATCATGTAGTATGTATAATTTTGCTGCTCTGGGAAATTGCAGAAATTTATCTAGTTAGAAAATTAAGTTCGGTGCTCGTTTACTTTCAATTTGAAAGTTAATTAACCGCACAATGATGGCCGCGCAATTTTCCAGGTAACCGATAGAGCAACGTGGAAATAACCAAATAATATACTCGCAGAAGTATAATTGCATTCGTCATTTTAGAATAATGCCTCTCACGTAACTCGTTACCCATTTCCGACGATTAAACTGCACGGCTTACCTCCAGGTTAAAATCGCATTTGAATGCAAATTGATGTGTACTTTCCAGATATTGTAACGTTTCCAGAGTTATGATCGCTAAGAGCTTTTATGTATTGGTTACGTTAGAATCCTCGATAAACTTGTTCCACGAAATTTACGAATCCAGTTTTTGTTTGAATTAAACTTCTAATAACTCCATTTATCAGAGTGATGCAATTCTTGGGGTACCTAGAGTCTTATTGAAAATTGAATGAAATAAGAAAATTGAAGGATTTTCAGAATTTTTTAATACTTCGGACTAAAACTGATCTTGAACTAGTAGTGTTGGAAATTTGAAAATTTAATCTAGAAGAATTTGACGAAATTATTGAAGTTATTGGTAAAATTGAAGAATCCTCAGACTCTTCTAATAACTCCATTTGTCAAAATAAAACAGATCTTCAACCAGCACTGCTTATTACTTTACTACATAATACTTAATGAAATCATAGGTGATAATACGAGTACATAACTTCTTCATCTTCTCATTAACAATTTCCCGTTATCCCGTTTACCTACCGCCATCGAGCATAACTTATTAACAATCCAACTTCTTCCTATTGAAGTCGAATCCGCCGGCATATGTGTGTGAGGAATTCGCGTTAAAATATCACTAGGTTAGAGAGATAATTGTTGGCGTTGTTAATTAGAGTTTAGGTGCCGAAATTAGATCGCTGATGCCGCGCTCTAACTCTTAACGCTTTAATTACAACGTATCGTTCGAGCCGAACGGTTCGTATGCCAAATTGTTAACATCCTAATTGAACAATATTTGCCTTGAAATAATTACTATCAATCCCGGTCTTGTTTGTGCAAGAGCGTTTCGTGTTTCGTGCGGATGCATTATTGAAAATCGCTCTAGTTGTTTTACGTTTTTTTTCTGTGGAAAGAGCAATTCGGGCAATTTAAATGCCTGATGAGGGCTTGAGGATAACAAACGAGCAGGCAGACCGATAAAAATGTCGACGAAGGAAGTCGTCCTGCCCTTGATTGGGGTGCAGCTCGCGCTGTTAATATTGTTCTGCGTCTTCGGGAGGTATTCGACGCACGAAGAGGACGCCGCTAAATATCCCAGTAAGTACATTTTTTTGCCGTAATAAAAGCGTTTATCGGGTGAAAAATGACAGCGAAATAAATAACAACAAAAGAGGTTTTCGACTGAATTCTATTTGATGTATAAATCAATATCGAAAACTTCGAACTTTTCAGCTACTAACTTTTCTCTACCGGCGTACTGTCAGGAAGAATTTATATTTATTTCGCTTCTTTCCAGTAATACCTCAGGAAATATTGTCAGTGTTGACGGGATTCTAATGATGTTATGCGATACCAGTCGAATATATTGACAGATCTTTTTTTTTATTTATTCAAACAACAAAACAATAACAAGCTAATTAGTAATTTTTAACAATCTTTCAAATTCGAGTTCAACAATTCCCGATATTATATCTATTTTTTGCGAAAGTATCTTGTATATTTTGGAGAATTGTATTGACAAAACATTTTACTTGTTCGCCTTTGTCTCCTTTTGCGACGCTTATCGATATAAAATATATTTTTCCCGGCGCCCGAGCGTCGCAATTATTCCAATTCGAAATTAATTTCGCGACCGAAACGCTGAATACTAATGTCCTAATCCCGACGAAAAAAATCACGCATTCCACCCACGGGGAGAAATCTCTCAAAAAAATTTTCTAACCGAGCTTCGATAATTAGCTTTCTCCCGCCCGATTTCCCGCCAGCAGAAATTGATTTCGATTTCAGATTTTTTTCGATTGTCATTCCAGTGTTCCAGGATGTCCACGTAATGATATTCATTGGTTTTGGATTTTTAATGACGTTCCTGAAACGCTACGGATTTAGCAGCGTTGGATTTACATTATTATTGGGAGCTTTCGTCGTCCAATGGGCCCTGCTCTGCCAGGGCTTCTTCCGGCTCGACGGCGACAATAAAATTGAAATAGGAATAGAAAGGTAAGGGCCGATCGCACTCGAAGGACGAATTTATTTTGATATAAGATTCAAATCTTTGCCGCCGGAGTTAAATTTTCATTTTAACGCGATTTATTCCCTCTATTTTTCAAACAAAATTTACACTTCCTATACACGAGAATATGTAGTACTCCTAGAATTGTCCATATTGCACACAACTTTGCACTTAGGTACCCAAATACGTTTCTTGTTTTCAACGCTGAAGATTACTGTTTCATCCGAAACATTTATCGCAATAATGTGTTTCTAATTTCGAAGGAAATTCGTAAAGCAAATTTAATAAAAATTCCTTTTTCGTGAGTTACTTTTCCGTTTTGAAATCGAATAAGAGGATTACGTTAACAGGGGTGGTATAAAATATGATAGAATTTTTTTTGCGGCGAAATATAAGAAACGTGATTTCTTATCCGGGGATGTAAAAAATGAATATAAAAATCAGGATTGGATTTCGGAGTAAAATGCGTAAAAAATTCGTTAAATTTTTCGATGTCACATCGAACGCAAGTTTGATTGTTTGCTTTAAATTTTTATTACACCATTATAATTCAACAAACTAACAAATAAATCGATTAGCATCAATATTTCGATGATTTAACGAGGCTCTAATTCTCCTAATGGGCGATCGCCTTCCAATTCACCTCGGCCTTGCGATGAGAATCGATTCCAATTATACCTTAATTATTAACGTTGGGAATTGTAAATAGTTTTTCGGGTTTTAGAATGAATGTAGTTGGGATGGGAATTTATTTGCGGAGCCGAACCGACGTCCCTATTTGGGGCATTCGTTAATGTAGTTACCTCACTGGCACGTTGATAGCCGAGTTAATTAAGAGCCCGGCATATTTATATGTTCATTATTTATATATTATGCCGGAGATCTGAGAGCTAATTTGCCCATAGGTCTGTCTGGGTTTTCCTAATTTGTATGCCGCCCTTTTCCGACGAAAATTTCAGATTTTCTGACGCGTATTCTGTATATATTTTTCTTTCAAATTCCCGCTCGCAAAAGGTAGTTAGAATTATTGTAGGCATTGTGAAGCATTCAAAAGGACATTCGACTAAATTTCTTTCATTAGTTATCAGTACGAGTACGATTTTCTTTTTGTTTACACGTTTAATTCAGTCTCTTTTTGCCTTCTTTTATTTGTCATTCAAATTGAAAAGATTCAATCACGAAATGCTTTCATAAGAGAATGCGAACCTCACATTGATGGATCCTTTTCTATCCACTCCCTTTTTTAAGAAAAATAAATCCCCCGGGCGTCAATCATCCTCTTTTTAATTCCAATTTTCCGCCTAAGGGGTACTAAAACGACCACCCACGGGATTTTCTTTTAACTTAAATTTTTATTTTTAAACCTACACTCATTATATACAGGGTGAATAATGAGGAATCCATACATACTACAGTGTACCTACTGAGGCACTAATGCACAGTGTTCTTCATGATTCACCCTGTATGGTATAGATTTTAATTAAAATTTGCTTATGTTTTCAGTTTGTATAAAGCCGATATAGCAGCTGCGAGTGTGATGATTTCGCTGGGCGCTGTGTTGGGGAGGACGTCAGTATTGCAATTATTTATCATGGGTTTCATTGAAATAGTAGTTTATTCGGCGAATTCGTATTTAGGAGCGACGGTTTTGCGGGTAAGTGAACCAACAAGCGTAGACATATCTCGTCGACTATTGCACCGAAATCGGTCGTAAATAGTTGAAAAGTTGAAATTAAGAAATAGGGAGAAAACTCGGTGTTTGTAGGTGGCAGATGCAGGTGGTTCGATATTTGTTCACGCTTTCGGGGCTTATTTCGGTTTGGCCGTTAGCTACGTGATGAACAGGAAAAAGGAAGGAAACTCGGAAACAGCCGTTTCCTTGCAGGAATCCAACTACACGTCGGACCTCTTCGCCATGATAGGTGAGACATTATATGTGTGTTTTTTGCCGGTGTTTTTGTTTAGTTGGTTTAACGGTAGATTGGGTTTCCTCGGTTTCATTTAATATGTACATACATAGGGAAAAAAAGAACAGGTTTTTTTTTTCGAAGATTCCGTTTTGTTTGTTCGCTCGATTCCTTTATCTCCCGCGTCGTTTCAAGCGAAATTGGAATTGTGAATGTTCGTATTTGCCGAGGATTATCGGAAATTCGATCTTGTTTATTTATACAATAATATTTAACTTTAATTACGCGCCGCTCACCCTGTATACGAGGCGATTCGAAATATGGTACAAATTCGCCTGTACAGAGAAACAAACACGATCTGAAAACCATTTGCACATTCTATTACGCGTTTCGAACCGTTTGACAAACAGATAGGGACAACTTAACCCTCTTTTTATTCCGATCTCATCCCCGACATGGTTCCGGTGATTATCCCCGAATGCTCCGAAAAATAACATCCATTTCGGGATTTTCGGCCGCTGGATATATTCTCCGGGCATCGCTCGTGAATATCGTTAAGAATCAACCGGAATCGCCGGACCATTGCTGGGACGGGACAGGGCGGAAATTGAAAAACGTCAAGTTTTTTTCTTTACTAGCCCCGGTGCTTTTCATTCGACCAACATTAGGTAATTTCGATTATAAAATGTCTGATTGTAATCATATAATTCGCGTTACCTACGAGGGTTTATCTTTGAATAGTTTGTTTGTAATATAATAGGGTGTTGAAATTGTAAAAATGTACGAGGAGATTATTAAAATTTACATGAGAAGCTTTTTAGGAGACCTGTAAAAATTTGAAGGTATAATGGTTTTTTTTTTAATTAATTATTCTTTAGAATCGTTCGAGCGAGTTAATTCGCAGTATTAAAAAGGCGAATCGTGAGTTCCACTAATTTGACAAATTTTTCATCAATTAAAAATCACATTTAGCCAGAATTTGATTCTTTCAGAACATTTCCATTCAACTACAATTACATTTAACATCATTTTCTTCACAAATTCCCTAATTTCTTAACTCCAAAATCACACAAATCGATCAAATCACACTCCAATTACACAACATCAACCAAGCCAATCCACTAACCCTAATTAACCGTTACACATGATCGTGCAGGTACGGTGTTTTTGTGGCTCTATTGGCCGAGTTTCAACGCCATAGAGCTGACCGGCGCCGAGCAGAGCCGGGCGGTGGTCAACACTTATCTGGCGCTCGCCGCCTGCACGGTGACGGCGTTCGCCGCCTCCTCGTTGCTGACGCCCGAGCGCAAATTCGACATGGTGCACGTCCAGAACTCGACGCTGGCGGGCGGCGTGGCGGCGGGCGCGGCCGCCAACCTCGTGCTGCTGCCCGTGGGAGCGGTCGTCGTGGGAATCCTCGCCGGATTCGTATCGGTTTACGGATACGTGCGATTGTCTGTAAGCGATTCTAATTGGGTTTTGGGAGTTAACGATTACACTGATTGTTGTAGCCGACGTTGGAGAGGCGCTTGGGCGTGCCGGATACCTGCGGGGTGCACAATTTGCACGGGATGCCCGGCGTGTTTTCGGGCGTTTTGAGCGTCTTGATGGCGGCGATAGCGACGCAAAACCAGTACAAGCTCGATTTGTTCGACGTGTATCCGGCGAGAATGCCCGATTTCAAAATCGAAAATAGCACAGCGCCCAGAACCGCCGCCCAACAAGCCGGGTTCCAAGCGCTCGGTTTATCAGTCACTCTGGTAATCGCCATCGTCACGGGACTCGTTACAGGTTAGTGTCTTTATTAAAAATTCAAACTTTATAGATAACACTTTAATTATCCGATGAAAACTGCGCCGGGTAAGTCCAATAAAAATTCCAAGTTTGCTCTAGCTCTTCAATCCGAGCTCAACAACGCAAACAGGGATCTTGTACATAATATTTCGAAATGCCCCGGAGCGGAATAAAATATTCCGAAGAGAAAAACCGTGGGAACTAAACGAGCGACTTGGGATACTCGCAACGTGGAAATGAGCTTCTATCTTACCGGAATTTTAATACATTTTTAAGACGCGTCGAGTCCACCGCACAACTACATAGAAAATCGCTGTAGAAATTACGGAAATGCGCTAGATTTAAATTTAAGCACCCTTCATGCACTACGAATTACGCCTGTTTGGTATACAATTTGACTAAATCAAAGGGTAATTAATTCGCTATGATATCGAAGCGAGAGCTAATGGCGTTACCCCTTTAGTTGCATATCGACAATGGCGCCGGATTATCTAGTGGTACGCACAAAAAATCTGGCTTTGTGTTTCAACCGGAAAACTGTCACCTACCCAATGCATTAACCTCAATGCTTTATACCGGCGTTTCAATTATCCCCATCCAGGGCCATCAATGGGAATTAATCACGCAACAAAGAGCGAAAAAAATAGCTTCAAACACTCTTCTAATGGACTAAATAAGTCTTCAATCGAAAGGGTTTAGTACAAACAAACTCGTTAGATAAAAATATAGCTATATTTCGAACATTTGTACTACACTGCGCGGAAATGGTTTCAATCGTGGAGCATATCCTCTATGGGTACTCTTTTGAAGAGCGCCGTGGCGACGGATTGGAATACTTGGGAATAGGACTTGCAGACGCCCTCGCTGACGTCGTTGAAGATGAGGCTCCAATTGTCGTTGACGACCTTCAATATGGCGTCGCCCAGCCTCCGGTCGCCGTTGAACAAATTCTGGAAATCGTAATGAGCCCCGCCGATGGTTATGTTGGCGTTGTACGAGACCACGTTGAAGTATTTCTTGTTGTGTTTGGTTTCCTCGTTGAAGACGATGTTGTGGACGATTTTGGCGTCTTCTGAAATTCGGGGAAGGTTCGATATTGGAGAGAAATGCGATATATGGTGGGTACTTACTTAGCTTGATGACCGAGAGTCCTTTGCCGAAGACCGGCATCACCAGGATTTTACCGTTTATGCTGTAATCGGCTGATTGCGTGAGCATGGGATGTCGGGTGACGAAAACGAAGTTACGGTTGTTTAGATCAAAACTGGAGTGCAAAAAAATATTAAACAAACCCGGTATAAAAGTGAAACAATCAAATTGTTCAAATTGAATCAAATTGCACAAAAAATTTCCGCTATAATTAATTTATCTTCAAACATAATTTAAATAAATATATCTAATTATGTTTGCATCAAGTATCAAAACAATTTTCGAATAATGCAGCTGTAAAATGAGCGCGTATTAATTATAAATAAATATTCATAATGCAATTAAAGCATATGTATAATGTAAATCTATGGAACTTACTTGGCACTTTCCGCTTTTAAAGTCGACAGTCCTTTTATTTTTACATTTGCGTAATTTTGAACCAAATTAACTGCGCTCGTTCCCGCTCCAATTGTAATTTTCACCACTTCCAGTGGATCTATAGGAGCCACTCCGATAGCAGAAATCCCTATTAAACTTGGTTTATTAATATTTTCAAAACATATAATTTTCTAATAACAATTTTTTTTTCATCACATGCAATCGATATCTATTATACGGTAGTTCAAGGGTAATTTATTAACAGCAGGGTACTTAAACTAAATTAAAATGCAGTGTATTTAATTAGTAAATAGTCAGAGCTATTAGTGGTTGTAATTACATCTAAATGGTAAAGTCGATAATTAGAGCCACTTAAAATTAAAATGGATATTAAATTCATATAATTACATTTACGTGAGACATAATAGACATTTACACAAAAATAACAAGATTTTTACCTAAATGTAATTAAACTTTTTCCGTGATTGAGATAATTTTAAACGAGTTTTATTAAATACCCATTAAGTAGGTATTTATTTGCTTCGATTTTCACGCTACTAAAAAGCCGGTGATAGATAAATAATTGACATCACTTATAATAATAGGATGTTGAATTTTATTAATATTCTGATGAATACGTTACCTGTAGATCCTAGAGTTTTGAATCCGGTTTCAATGGCATCGATTAAACATTTCTCAATTTGAGGATCACTTGGATGGCATAATTTGAATGATTTACCTTGAAAATGTATTTATTGTCAAAAGGTACTTGGTTAACAAATTGAAAATAATCAATTTGTTTGAATCAATATATTCAACTAATTCTAATAGCGTATTTTGTAACTTTTTTATAACCGTAATTGCTAATTAATGTTATACATATTTATTTATAAAGTGATATCCATTTGTATCAGAATTGTATGCAAATTCAAAGGAAAGCTCCATAATTAGAAAGTTATAAACGAATTTTCAAACTAAAAGATAAAAATTAATTTACAAAAAAGTTAGCCGACATTTCTGAACTTGATTTATAAACTATTTTAAATTCCCCAGCTATCCCAAAAATGTACGGTTCAAATGTACGAAAGTATTATTATAGGAACACCGGTAGCCCCGAAAGTTTCTGACCCATTTTCAATGAATTATTCCTAAAGTTTGAAGCGATAGATACGTGTGGTTTACAACCAACAATTCCTATTTACCCAGAGATTTTTTGTTAAATTATTTATTCATATTTTGGGTGATTTGAAAAATGTCTTTGAAAATCTGTTCATAATGAAATATAAATAATTTATTAAGTACATATACTTACCAAAATCAAAACAACTTGCCTCGTACAAACAAACCAAAATGGTCAAAGTTATTGAGAGACTGGTTTTCATGGCAATTCAATTACCTACCACTCGCAAATGAACAAGTTACAATGAATAGAGTTTTTAAATTTTCTCCATTTATATACCAATACTGTCCATAGGTCTATTAAAAACTGCATGGACATTTGTCTCCCATTAATTACATTTTTACGCAAAATCAGAAGCACACCGGTACAATTTAAACTGCATGTTAATACTCTATAATAACTATACCGGCACGTGGATTTCATTTCAGGTCTATTAATGACATTAAAAGCGGCTTTTCCGATAAATTCCGTATATTTTTTCAACGACAATACGGAATGGCGACTACCCAGAGAAAAACTTTTCAATCCGCCACCGCTGCTGACCTTTCTTCCGTTTACCGAGAAAAAAATCCGGGTAAATATTTTCATGTAAAACACTTTCGATGTTCCAGCACGTCCCACTTCACTTTTAGCTAGCGCCCCAGTTGAACATCCCGGCTATTCCACTAATATCATTTAATCCACTGGTTCTTAAAGTATTATTTTGTACACTTTTTGTGGTTTGTTTTAAAAATATTTGTGTGCACTAATGCTTGAGAAATCATCCCTTGCGGGATTTCAACATAATTTGAGAAGAGTTTTTGGAGGAATCTTTAATATATTTTTTTGTGTTTATAATAAGAAGAAATTATCGAAATAATTTGGTTATTTGAAGCCTTATCTAGTAACAATGTCGGCCTTTTGCGTTGTGGAAATTCGATTCACGCGGGAAATAATAATAATATAAAGCTCGAAATTGAATGAACCCCTCTGATTCAATTAGCACGTGGGCGAACACCTAGAAATTTCGTATACTGGATTTTATTCCCCGTTTTCGACGAAAGTTCGTCGGTTTCTCGTCGCATAAAATGTGTCAAATCATCTGGGGTTTTTATACGTTTAATGACCGCATTTCCCGCAGACAGGGAAAATACATCGGCCGATGCTTTTTGCCGTCTGTACCTGTGGCCCCCTTTCGTTCTTCGAAAAAAGGAAACGTCATGCGACGAATAAAAAATAATTTAACGCCAGATATATGATGTGACGACGCGTTTTTTCGACGTGCCGTCGAAAAAATAGGAAAAATGGCTTTTTAATGCATCCAGTACACTTTTATTCATAGCTCTGTTTACTCGATTTTCGTTAATTAGGTAGTTATTTAATGAATCTTTCGTTCTATCTAATCACAAATATTTAAAAGCTCGCATTCCACTAAACATAATTTAAATTAACTTATATCTTGATTTAAAAATTTCCGTGCAGCAAAACAATTTGACATTTGACAGCACTTGACATTTGACATGTAAATATTTCAAACTTTCAAATATTTGAAACTTTCCGCTAATTCATTCATCGCATTCGCAGGATTCATATTGAAAGCGACCACCAAAGCGATTCCTGCGAAATCGGAGTACGACGACGCCACCTTTTGGGAATTATGCGAAGCGTCCGCTCCCGCCGGAGATACCAAAGCAGGAATGCAATACGACAACGCCTGCTTCGAGGTGTCCACTACAGATGCGCGCCTTCCGTGATAAATTGTTTATTAACGCTCATTAACGAGATTTTTTACATGCATTCGATTATACAGGGTGGTCTCGAACTTATGGCAATACATTCTAGGGGTGGTAATTTACATAATTTGAGACCGACTCGCAGATTTCATTTTTCTAAATAAAGTTATAATAAACAAAATGCGGTCCTGTACATCGGTTGAAACCCCTCGACCCTCTAATTTTTTAGAATCATGGATAAATTATAAAAGTAACCTGGGTTTTTCAAACAATAGAAGAAAATAAACTTTAAACTCGAAAGGATTATTAGCTCACCTATTTTGTTGTTGAAAGCTGCTTAATATTGTTCCAGAACATCATCATAACGAACAGGAACTAACTAAACTAAGAACACTAAGAACTAAAACGATCAAATAAATCACTAAAGTCTAATTACAAAAATCTTTTTAACCCCGATGTTATAATCAAAACAATACAATTCGTACTAGAAAACGATCGGTATCGATAACGTTTTTTTAAAACTGGAGGGCGGAGGGGGGAAATTTGCGCCAATGAAATCTGCGAATCGGTCTCAAATTATGCTAACTACCACCCCTAGAATTTGGTGCAATAAGTTCGAGGACACCCTGTATATACATACATTTTACGTTTTTTAGTACGTGTGTACCAAGCGTCTAATAAAAGGTTGGTTTAATATTAAATGCAATTTGAATTTTCCCACAAAGTTAGTTTAAGTATTTAGTCATAGATGGCGCTAGTAGCTGAAATTGTTTTACAAATACGTGCTCTCGGGTAATTCCTATGTTTTAAACATATTCTCTTATATTTTGCCTTTGGTATTGTTAAACTAAACTTTTTTATTGTATTAATTTCCTCTGAAAAGAAGTAAATTTTACATAAATTCGTTTTGACATTTCCTGTTGACAGGTAGTTTTGACATTTCGAACGAATTCAAAATGTAATACAAAAATTATTTTAAATAAACAGCCACATAGGTAGAGTTTTAATAAATCGACATAATTACAAATCGCATCATTTAATAATCAATTAGGAAGTATCTCATCGGCTGGAATTTTATCGATTAATTGCCCGGCAACGGCCAGAAACACCTTGGAAAAGGTAGTTTCAATCCCGCCCTTGACGTCCTCGAAGAGTACTTGCCAATTCTCGTTGACCACGGTCAATATGTGTTCGCCCAGAGCTTTATCCCCGTTAAACAGATTTTCGAAATCGAATCGAGCTTTCCCCACCGACAACACGCCCGCGTAATCCGTTACCCTGAAGTACTTTCGCTCGTTTTTCACCACCTCCTCCAGCTTCACGGTGTGCTCTATCTCCACATCATCTGTAAAACCAGCATTTAATAACTAATAAAATTTCTTCGCGCGATTGTGCTTACAGAACACGCACACCGAATCGCCCTTTCCGAATATCGGTAACACTAATATTTTCCCGTTAATGTCGTATTTAGCTTTCTGTTCTAACGTAGGGTGAAGTGAGGTGAACGTGAGAATGTTCTTATCTAAATCGAAACTGAAAAAGCATTATAATTATATCAGAATAGTTTGAATAATGCATAAACCTAACTGCGCTTCCTTTACTTTGAGCTTTGAGAGGCCGGTGATGCTCGCATTGTAGTACTTTTGCACCAAATTAACCGCCGTACTTCCTTCTCCTATGATGATTCTGGTGATTTTTAAGGGATCCACAGAAGGTACGTTCAAAGCTCGAATACCTTAAATATTCTGCATTACAACAATAAATAAGCTTTAGAAGATTCTTTACCTTTGCTCCCGACGGTTCTGATGCCATCCTCAATAGCGCTTATCAAGCATTTGTCCAAATCCGGGGCGCTTCTATGGCACACGGTGAATCGTTTATCTGTTAGTTATTGCGTAGGAATTATCGATTATCGAATTAATGGCGTACGTACCGAAATTGTAGGCGTTCGCAGCGCACAATGAGACTGCGAACAATAAGCAGAGACCGGTTTTCTTCATAATTCGATGCAATGGAGCTCGTTGACCGAGAGGGATTAACGAAAATTCGCTATGCGAACGCGCTTTAAATACGAATGGAGGTTTTGTGTTATTTTTTAAGGCGATATCCTGGTAATTATGATAATTACCTGGCCCAAGGAGTATCGAAAAGGCAGTCGGTGACCTGCGGGGTGATTAACATCTCTTCATGGTCAGTTTAGGTTTTTTTTTCGAAGGAAAACGGGTTGGAAATAAGAAATAAGTACATGAGAATAATATAAAAACATATATTTAAACATTTACCATTTCACAAAATATATGACATTGTAATGCAATAACTGTTAAGAATTCATTTCATATAAGGAACATTCAAAGAGTCTCTTAGTATTAACCGAAATATTTAGTAAATTCATTTAATATCACATTCGATAGCAGTTTAGTAACGGCCAGCAGACAGGTTGGGTTCAAACAAGTTCTATTTTACCGTGAAATTAACTTAAATGTATCCTAAATTATATTAAGAAAAATGATAAATTATACAAACAAGTCGCGTACAATTGACGCAGATAATGTTATAAAGAAAAATTAGCACCAAACTCAAGTAAAAAAATTAGTCTTAAATTTCGATGATTTCGATATTAATTGCTCCTCCTAAACCCTTCTCGCAAATAGAATTTATTTACATCAATTATTACCATATAATTAACAACGTTACTTCCATATAAAAATACCAAGCTACCACTTGAAAATTCTCCATTATTCTCTTCAATAACTGAAATCAATGGTACATGTTTGTACTGATTACCCTTGAAAAACATTTTTATTGTTCTCTTTGAGCGCACTTTATTCCATTCGCGTTACAAAATTATGAAAGAAGTTGTACGAGTTTATTAAATCAGAAATTATATTGCAAGTGGTAAAAAAATTGGTAAGAAAATAGAAAAATAAATTGATTTAATTGTACAAGAAGCTATTCTTTGTTCATTTCTTAACAAACTAAATTAACGAATGTATTATCACAAAGCGAAATGTAAAATAAAAATATACAAAAGTTGAAGTAACAGTAAAAAAAATTGTACTAATTAGTAAATACTAACGGAAATTAACAAAAACAAACGTTGCTCATTTCATAGAAATGCAAAAAAATGGTATTTTACAATTGGAACATATTTTAGCATCCATAAAACTAAAACATCCCGTAGTTTCTACAAAAATAAAAATTACAATTTGGTCCCCAATTGGTAACTAATAATAACGTACAAATTAAATTCCTTTGGACTCGAACTGGTCGGGAGATATTATGATAAATTTATTTTCCGAGTGAATATGTACAATTTGATATATTAAATTTCTCCAACAAAACGACCGATTGTATATACAAGCAGAACATTTCCCCATCGAATATTTTCTTAAAAAATATGTACCTACATCTAAATACATTTAACATTCGAACAACGTACGATATACCTAGGGAAAGTCAACAGGAAAAGGTACAATTCATTATTATTTCAAATAGTAATTCGAAATGACTACATTTAAATATCACATTTAGTTAATACCTATATCTCACTTAAAATATATGGCTCGCATATATTTTCAAGATATGCACGAAATTCATAACAGTACGGCATAAAAACCTGCAAAAAAATATTATCCAACAAATAAAAAAATAAAATCGCTTACAGCGCGACAACAATAGCAATGCCACAATCGAACCTTCAATATATATCGTCAGGCGGCGAGAACCTCCTGTGGCTGATCGAGGCTTGCAAATAACCCGGACGCCTCGGCACTCCCCCCACGTGCAAACTGACATCCTCGTCGGACACGTTGTAGTGGCAGAGCAACTCCTCCCTGGGGGCTATGCCCAAGGCGGCCGGAATATCCACTCTTTGGCGGCTGTACTGACTAGCTTCCAGGCTATGAACGAACGACACTAGCTTAAAATCCTCGCTAACCTACAAAGGACCATTAGTACTCGATTCTAAAGAGTTTAGATGTAGGTACTGACCTTATCTTCTAATCTCTCGACGATGTCCCAAAAGGAAGGTCTATCGCCGGGCCTCCAGGACCAGCATTGCTTCATAATATCATAGAGCAGATCGGAGCATTCGGGTGGTCGAGTCAGTCTTCCTTTCGAAATGATGAATTGCCTGACGTTTTCGTTGGACAAACCTGCGAATATCGCGATGAAATCGACGCGGAATTGAATCTACATTCGGAATTTACCTTGGTAGGGTTGTTCGGCTAAGGTGGCGATCTCCCACAACACGATGCCGAAGCTCCATACGTCGGAATCGGTGGTGAAAACCCCGTCGGCCAGGCTTTCGGGCGCCATCCACCTGACGGGCAGCAAGCCCTTGGACGCCTTCCTATAGTAATCAGTCGTGTAGATGTCCCTGGTCATGCCGAAGTCGCCGACCTTGACGGTCCTGTCGGCGGCCACCATGCAATTCCTGGCGGCCAGGTCCCTGTGGACGAACTTCCTCGCCGACAGGTACGCCATGCCGTCGGCTATTTCGACGGCCATGCGGTAGATCTCGTTGGAGGTGAGGTCCTGCGACGAGTCGCGCATCTTCCGCAGGTAGTTCCTCAGATCGCCGCGCTCCATCAGCTCCATGACGACGAAGGGCGGCTGGCGCGTCGAGACGACGCCCAGCAGCCTCACCACGTGATAGCAATCGCTGAAGGCCTTCATGACGGACGCCTCGACCAGGATCTCCATTCTTTGGTATTCGTTCAGCGCCTCGTTGACCACTTTGACGGCGCAAACGTGGTCCTTGGACTTGATGAGGCCTTGGTAGACCGTGCCGAAGTTGCCTTTGCCCAACACTGTAACTAATTCAATGTCGTCGGGGTCCATTTCCCAATGGTCCTGCGGGTATATGGGGTATTCCGGGCATTCCGGGTAATACGGATTCACGCCGATTATGAGCCGTAGCTTATCCATGCGCTTCTTTCTGAAGTAATAGTAACCAGCACCGGCCGATGCCAGGAACAGTACAATCAAAACGCAAACGGTTATCAGCGAGCCGTGTCCGTTGCTCGGGTACGGCACGAAAAATTTCTCCGCTACCCCTCTAGAAACTCCTGCCAGAGTTTCAGCTTGCACTACAATCGAATGCCAGCCGGGGGTGACGTCGCGAAACGCTCGATGTATCGTACCATTCGTATCATTGAACATCGCAATGCAAGTAGTCACCGGCACGATGTTATTCTCCGAGTTAATGGTAACCCTGTACGCGACGATAGGAGTATTGGGACTCGACGGGGGCGTCCAGGAAACGTTCAGGACGTCCTCATCGTAACGGGATTTAAAGTTCACCACGTCGTCCGCGCCGGGCTTGGCCCTCGTTCGAACGAACCTCTGCAGCACGCCGCTGCAGAAGTGCTCCGTCTTCGGCTCGTTGCAGGCCCGCAGGAAGAACACGTACATCTTGAACGGCTTCAAATCGTCGATGAGCACGCTCGTCACGTTCGGATCGATCAGTTTCTCGCGGGCGTCCGAGCGCTTCTTCCGCTTCTCCGATTGGTACTCGTACTGGTCGCACGTCTGCTGCTCGGTCAAGGACAAGGCGATGTCCACGCAGAGCTGCGACTTCGCCCCTCTGGGGATGAATTCCACTTTTGTCTTTTCCTTACAATCGCAGTCGTCGGGCGGTTTCGGTTCTTCTTCGTCTTCGTGATCGTCCAGAGGGCTCGGATAATGGTCCTTTTCGTCGATATCCACCATGTCACCGTCCTTGCTGCAAATTAATTATACTAAATTTAGAGGATATTTAGAAGATGCAAATGGCTTTCGGACCACGAAGCTGGTAGTTCATGGGACTTGTAGCTCATAAGGAATATGGAGCTTGTGATAAATAAAACTTGTAGTTCATGAGGCTTGTGGTTCTTAAGGAATATGGACAATGTGGCTTGAGGTGCTTGAGGCTTGTAGTTCACAAGGCTTTTGGTGCTCGAGGCTGGTGGTTCATGTGGCTTGAGGTGTATAGATTTCAAATATTACGTACGTTCTAGGATGCTTGCAGTAGTCTCTCTCGAATAAAAAATCTTCCTCCAAGTTGAAATAGAACAGCCGGTACTCGGCCAGGACGCCGTTGGGCAACGTGGGTTTCTCCCATTCGAGCTTGATGGAGCTGTGATCGATGGGCTCCAAGTTGAACTTGACGAAGCCGTCGGGATCGTCGGCGGTGGTGTTGAAGTACATTATCGTGCTGAGGTAGCACTTCGAATCCAGATCGGTCTCGACGCACCGCCTCAGATAGTAGGCGTAGAAGGAGAAAGGCGTCAAGTTGTTCAAAGAGAACGTGACGTTGCTGGAATCGGTGACGTTGTACTCCTCGTTCCATTTCTTGTCGATCTCGCAGGGCGCGCCGATGTAGAACGTCTCGTTTCGGCTGTCGGTTTTCTTGTAATAAATCGTGGTGCTCAAGAAGACGTCTCTGGTTGGTACCTCGGAGGCGGGAAGTTGCCAGATAACAGTGGCGTTTGTTGATCTGGCGCTGAGATGAATCTCTTTTTCTATGTTTTTGGTGAAGCAAGCTGCTTGATCGCCGTTGGAATTCACGGAAACGTCCACTACATTATAATCGACTTTCGTAACGTTCCGTAGATGGTCTATTTTGGACAAGCATAGAATGGGGTTGTCGTGGAAACTGTACTTTCCTATAAAAAAAATGCATAGTTACAATAAAACCGGGGTTAACCAAAGAGCAGGAGTTTAACCTTCGAGCTTCAACGTGGATCTGAACGCCCACAAGTCCTGCAAGTCCGGATTCTCGAACACCACGATGCTGTAATCCGCCCGGGGCACCTCCGGGTCCTTCGATCCGATGAAGGTGACGTTCCGCAGGAACTCCAGCGAGGCGAGCTTGGTGCGCGTGACGCGCAACCCGCCGCTGATGGACCTCACGTCGGAGAGGTGCTCGAGCAGCAGGTGCTGCAGGTCGGGCAGCTTCACGTTCTGGATGTGCAGCGGGCCGACGAGGTGCGTGCAGCCGCTCAGCCGCATGATGTCTGCCTCCGAGACGATGTCTTCGTTTACGTCGCAGACGATCACGCAGGCGTGGCCGCAGTAGCTGCAACTGCGGACGATCTGCGGAAGGTGTAAATTGATTTACTATGGAAAGCTTGGGGTATTTGGTTATGTTGTCGGTAACTCCGGTAATGGAAGCGTAAGGAGCTTTCGTAATTCTATTGGGAAATGTTAATAAAACGTTGAGGGTTCGCTAATTTAGCTTTGAGGGAATGCTTTAAAAATTAGATCTCCGTGGAATTGTTTTCCCGTGGAACGCTTATTACGGTAAAATTTTCATTCCGAATGTAAATAAAACAAAAAAAATATTCCATTTTTCTCTCGGATTACTCATGACACATTAATTCCCGACCGACTTGCTCCTGTTACTAACAGCGAACGTTACCAGGCTCTTACCTTAACGACTGTTAAATGAAACGAGGAAGGAATTTCCGTGTACCTTATTATCGGCCGTGACGATTTCCTTGTATTCGTGATACTTGGGGCATTTATCCAGGCAATATCTCTCGCCTTTCTCGGTTAGATGCGCTACGTAGGTTACGTTCTTGACAACGTCGAATGTTTCGCAAATTTCCCGGCTGACGCAGGTATCCATAAGGCGGTATCTGGAATTTACGAATTTACGAATTCAAGTTTTAATGAAAGTTTGGTGTTTGTTTGATGTCTCGAATGCGGCGTGGAAATGGGAGAGCGAGAATAAATGAGATACTTTAGATGTTGTAAAAGCAATCGGAAATGTTTCGAAAGTTAATAAAGTGACAAAACAGCTTCGGAAATCACAATAAAGGGAGGAATGAAATGCTTTAAAATTTATTGAAATGATAAAAATCCGCTAGAACGACAACGAGAAGCTTCCAAAAAAATCGCTACAATTGCATCAAATAAACTGCTCCAAAAAAGTTTGAAGTTCGCAAATTTTGCGATTATTTTAAAAGTTACAGACTTTTTGATCACCAAATTTTTAAATGTGCGAAATTAAATGTTTTCTCTCATATCAGAGTGGATTTTTTGCCCCTATCTCTATACAACTCATACTAAATTTGGCGATCAAAAAACCTGCAACTTTTAAATTAATCTCAATATTTGTGAACTTCCATAACTTTTGTGGAGCAGTATATTTCAAATTGCCAAAAAAACTACACCTTTCGCTTCGACTTACTCGTTTTTAGGACAGCTATCCAGGCATTTTCCGCCGATCAACACCTTGGAGGGATCCTTGCACAATAAACACTCGTCCTTGCTGGTACAGCCCAAGCATTCGTCAGGACAACGGGCAAGGAACTTATCCCTGTCGACGCAATGCGTTGAATTCCAACAATAACCTGGAAAGGCGCTAACAAGAAGTACCACATTTTATTTATACAGAAACGTAAATAAGCTACTTGCACAGATTCGAGCACCAGCAGTTTTAATGTCGCAGAAGCACTACTGGATCTTATCTTATTAATATACACCCTGCATACAAAGTGGTACTGCTAAATTAAAATTAAACATTACTATTTCCTGATAGCGAACGGAGTATAATAGAAAAGAGTTCTCAAGAAGCAACAAACATCTGTGTATTTTCATACGCATTTATCGAGTGATAAACGGTGGTATTGGATTAAATCGTCGCAACAGTACGATCATTTAGCGTGGATTTGACGTTTTAATTCGGTAATTTGTAGGTATTCGCACGCACGCGGCCGGTTTAATTATAACATCGGTCAGTTTTCGATTAAAACGAACGCGGTCGTCTATTCGATGACGGATCGAAATGGGTTCCGTTCGCGCGAATAACAAAACTTTGTTTGTGTATTCGCGAAAAACGTGCGCTCGATTATCCGATGGAAATTACGGACGATTCGAATTAAATATAGGTTCGATGAAAACTATATTTTTTTAGATGGAATTTTCTCGATTATTGCGTCTGGGAAATTGAATGGGGTTTCAATTTGCGATATGAATGCTCGGTAATTGTTCGCAGATGATGGCAATTTCTTCTTGTTATACGCAAAGACTTTAATTCTGATTTTAATTAAAAGCCATTCACTGGCGAACGATTCATATACAGGGTGATTTCATATTCCAAATCAACAAATTATTTATGCATCAACTACTCAATAAAAGTTGTATAGTGAGAAAACTTACCATTGCATTTCTGAGGACAAGGATTCTGGCAATCGACTTCATAACCAGAACTAACCATTCTGACGTTATTCACGCCGAATTCCTTCCAATCCACTGTATCGGTACACAATTTGGGGCACGAGTCGATAGAAACGCTTCCTCTTTCTATCAGCAGCAAATTCGTAAGTCCCAGCTGAAATATTACAGACTTTTTAGGAGTTCAAGAAGCCACTCTATAAATTAACTTGCACAGTGAAACTGCCCTATTTTAACTACCCTATTTTATCGAGCACGTAGCTATTTTAAGAGAGCGAATCGTCGACTATATTTAGCTGAATGGTAATTACAGAAGAAATTTTTCCTAGTTAGAAAGCTAAGTATAAGTAGTAGACAAGAAATGACAAGAAATCATTCACGTTGGTTATACTACCGTCAATTTATCAACTCAAAATGTCATAGTGTATCGGCCACCATCAACCCAAAATTCCTGTAAATCCCAACCCATATGTAACTGTTTTAGAAACACCATAATATCTTCGATCAAAATGCCAGTGGAATTGATACCGGTGAACCTGAAGCCCGACCACATGGGCGCCGGTCCGGCCATACCCTTGAAATACAACCCGAACTACCGACTGGACCACTTCTACAAGTACAAGCACGAGACCATCAGCCGGATGCCGCCGTACCATTACAAATGGGGCGGCATGGACTACAAATACACCCCTCACAACGACCGATCGGTGTACAAAAAGCGCGAGGGGTACTACTACATACCCCCTACGAAAGTCTCCATGGTGGATAGGGGTCGATTGAAGGAAATCGACGATTTCTACACGGTCTCCCAGTTGCACAGGGACAATTACAGGGACGACACGGACACGTTGTACCCCATGCGGTACTTCAAACGGGCGGAGTACGTGTACCAGTGCCCGCCGAACACGACGTCGCGGTACTTCTCTTACCCGGAGTACCACGTGAAGTACAAGCATCCGTACGTGGTGCCGTTGACTTTGGGCAGGACCGTGAGGCCCACTTTGTTGCCCGATAGGGCGCTCACGGGCGTGTTCGCGCCCTCCAGCACGTTCACTTGGAAGATTTGATTTTTTTTATATCGCGTCGCTGTAGTGATTTTTTGATTGGGGTTGTTGAGATGAAGATTCGGAAGCACCCTCGTATAAAACTGGAGTACCCTCGTATGAAACGAGAAAATCGACTATTTGTTGGATCCGAGATATTTGTAAATGTTCCGACGCCACCTCCTTGTTAATAGAAAATAAATTGGAAAATTAATTGTAAAAAAATAAATAAAACTCGAAAATTCATCTAGAAATTTCTGGCAGACCTTCGAATATCGTGGAGATTAGAAAAAATTGCTTCAAAAATGTTATAATAAGAAGCTTTTGAAAAATATCTAAATGTCAAAAAAGCTTCAAAAATTGACTAACGTATAAAAGCTCTAAAAATCACCTTATAAGAAAGCTCTGAAGCTCTCCCAAAAAATGGCGGAGGCGAGCCCTCCTCCGCCAAAATTTTTACACAACAATGCGAAATCATTTGGCGTAGATTTATAATAATTCAAACGCGCCTACGCTGCTATTCTTGAAGCATTAAAAATATTTAATTTGCACCGTGTGGAGCTCATTTCAACTGGACAGTGTCCAATGCTTCCTCGTTATTAAATCCAAAATAAAGTGGGTGTAAAATATTCATTGCACCAACTCCTATTTTACACATTAAACACGCAAATGCACGAATTATAGAATTTATAATACAATAATAACCCTATTATATATGGGAGATGTTTAATGGCGCTGTTTATTGTTCAGATATGATAGGTGGACATTTCCTTAAAACAATAATAAATCGCGGGATTAGGTTTAATTAATTTTTGTGAATTACACCCAACTCATGGGCAATGTCTTGTGTTGTGTGGGCAATTCAAAACGACAGGCGATTTTCAACTACATGAATTTCCTCGGTAGAAATAAAAGAGTGAAAGAAAAATTGTAATCTGAAGCTTGCACGTATCGAAAACGGGCATTTTTATAGTTTATAGTCATACGCACAAGTTTTACTCATAACAATCCCACATAAATACGCCCGTTGGGCAATTAATCAGACTTAATAATGGAACATAAAACTTGTGTACGCACGTACTAGTACAATACTTACGAGTTTGTTAACAACGCAGAAAATATCATTAGTAATTAACGGATTTTATAATCGACTTTGAAACTAGTTTTTTACGTGTAAGTAATAAAACGAAATAATAAAAATTATATTATAATAACAATATAATTATCTACTCAACATAAATCTTGCCAACTTTTTTTTAATGGGAAATTTACTAATTTACGAGCGTATTATCACACCCTGTACGCCTACCGCAGAACAAACAGCAATCGTACAAATACATGCGATAAATAAGTCGCCGGGTTTGCAAACAATGGCTTCGAACTTGAAATACAAATCGATGTTGCGGAACCAGATGAAATTATTAATAGGAGCAACAAAGATCGTAACCTAAACATCACGTATTTACCCGGAGAATTGAAATAGAAACGCTCGACAATCCGCCAAAAACGAAATGTCACGTTCGTTTATCTGAGCAGAATTACGCATAAATCTTTTCACATTATTAATGCAATTTATATTTAATATCAATAAAGAAAGGTGTGAAGTTCCCTCACCTCTGACCGGGCACAAGTTCACAAAAATTAAGCACGCCCTACATTAAATTGCCCCGTCCACCTGATTGCAATTTATTAAGGTTATTACAGCTGTTTTATTAACGTTCTATTAAACCTAATTGCTCGAATTGGCTTAGAATAATTAAAAAAATATCGCCGTAAATCAAAAACTCGCCTCGACGTTTATTAGAATTCCGAATTGGAAAAATTGCGACTTGCATATCTGAAACTATGCCACAAGGAACAGTCAACATCTTTTATGTTTGTTTTACGACCATTGCAATGTCATACACTCATTATGTTAGGAAAAAAATTGGCGTAGGCAAAATAACTCTGTTATTTGCAACAAAAATTTACAATAAATACGCAAATTACGCGTTGCATAACACAGTCAACGACATTTGCCTAATTAAGGAATCCAAATTAACTAAATTTTACGACAAAAACGGAATTAGATAACCGTTAATTCGTTCGAATGTAGATATAGAAGCATTCTTATAAAAGGTGTCAAGAAAACACCTTTACTTAGCACTGTCATATTGCCAACAAAACTACCAATCTTCTGAAGTATTTTGCGTGCATTACTCTACACAATAAATTGTTGGAACTCTCCTTGCATTCCATACTAAATAAGAGAGGTTTTTCAAAACTTTTCGATCGAAAGTCTCGTCATATAGTTGGGAGTACAGCATACTTTAGGTGGCTTTGAATAAAACTCGATGGGATAGGAGATTGTTCGGCAAATCAACCGGAGTTTTCACGCTCGATCGACCGGACTCGGGACGCTGCATGATCGAACTCCACGTAGTCAAATAGATATCGCAATCGCACTCTAATCGAATTAGAGCCGAGCCTCTTGCGTCACGTCCAGTAAACAACCGCCCGAGATATGGAACTTTTCTAATTTCATACGCAACCAGGTTAAAAACCTCATAACTCATTAGGCGGGCTGATATATAAAAATTAATTCATTTTCGGTATTTGATATAGGGGTTTCGCGATTAGTTCGCGTAATTATACAGGTGAAAAGTAGAATGCAATTTTATTCGAAGGAGAAAGTCCACCTATAAATACAATGTATGTGTGTCCTTTAAAGGAAAATGCGGAACGGAGCCGAGTTGAATTTTATAGCTTGTAAAATCCCCGACATTGTGCTACAAAATACACACCTTCGTCTCTTAAAATTTAGAAATTCGTTTCGATGGAAACGGCGTAAAAATTCCACCAGGTGTAACACAATGTAGATGTTTAGAAAAGTGTAAATTAACTCGAACCAGAAAGGTCCACTAAACATTTTTATTCATAAAAATACACGAAATGTAATAACGTGTTTATTTATTTATCTACACAAGCAATACAAATTCTAAAAATATATGCGAAATATTATCTTACATCTCTTTTGAATTCTTCCAAACGTTCAATAAAATCCAATAATTCGACGTATGTATTTATTTTACCCGTACGCCTGCGAATTTGTAAGTATAATCAAGTGCATATTTCAAATTAAACGCTTGCAAAAATCGCATAATTTCTATCGATAACGGAATTAATAGTAGACATCGTAAAATCAATGTTTTAAGTGGGCGATTAAAAACATAAGATATATATTTTATTAAAAATACGGATATAAATGTATACAATTTAGCTACAATGTTGCTTATCTCCTATTTGCTCGCGAATAACTGAATGTTGTAAGATTATACTGCTAATGTTTGTTTAATAATATACAGGACTCTTTATTTTAATATTAATTATGACCTACTTAGCTAGAAAGCACTTAAATTTGTACATACAATAAAAAAACAAACACTTCAGTTATACTAAATAAAGAATCCAGAAATATCTCAATTCTCTAAAAATAAATGCATTTACGTTTCATAATTTCTATTTTAAATTTCTCGAGCAAATTCCGTTTGGGAAAAATAATTCGAGAAATTTCTGGCGTTTTCTTACCGCATGTTTATGTGTAACTATTCTGCATGCAACTATATCCAAATACGAATTTATTCAAATATCGACCTTCGTACGGCTATAAAACGGCGAATTGTATTGAATGAATTATCGCCTTGTTACGTAGATATAAACGAATTCGACAATCAACGTTAATAAAAACATACGAACGCAGATTATATAAAAATCACTCGTAAAGCTGGACCCGCCCGAAAATCGAGCGATCATCCATTAAATCCATTTCCTGACCATCGGATTCAACTTATCGGATAGTAAGTGGAATATGTATATTTACAGTAGGGATTGCCTTGATGTGTTGTTTTTTGAAAGTACTCCGACAGCGAAATTCATATCCTTGGTCAGGCTACGACAAAGCGATCTGCTATCGCGCATTAAGCGAATCCTTGTTGAATTTTTTTATATCCTACACGAATCGGTCGCTGAAGCTGAATGCATTCTGTTGAGACTGCTTCCCAAGGCCGAAAATGTATCAGTGCAATTAAACACATGCCCATTGTTTAGCGTCCTGACCTAGTTAAATCGATTACTGAGAAAATCGTAAAACCTCCACGACACGGGAGTTAGATAGTGCGGTAGTAAAAAACTTTTAAAAATAAATGCATAAAGTTTACGACTCGTTTTATGCGTTTCGTTTATACTGCAGTTTGCTTCTTATTGTTTCCGTATAACCTCCAGCTTTAAAATGGATATCGATAAATTTTATTTATTTTTTGCGCAGTTTCTATATTAAGCTTTTTGCTACTAAAATATTTAATAAGAATCTATGATTTATGAAAAATCTACTTTTAGAGTTTTACTGGGTTAGATTCTTTTACCTGGTATGCAAGTTTGATTTTTGAGTGCCTTATTAATTTTTCATTGAAGGTTTAGCAACTGTAAATTTCATAGCATTAATGGAAATATTCAATTTAACTTTTTTTTGTAATGGAAGAATTTTATAGCGTTTTTATCGAGCCGAAAAGGTGCACACTGAAGCACCCATGCATTTTATTACACTCAGGTAAATTTAAAGCATCTCAAATTAAATGGTCACCGACCTTTTGATCGATTAACCGATCTGGAGGGTGCATAATTTCCCGAAAAATATTTAAATAACGCATTTTTATCTATCCCTAAAGACTTAAGCAATAATCGAAGAATGATGTTAGAAACACCATGAGTTATCACCGAGTTTTAAGCACCACTAAAAACCTCTTTACATCAGTGATCTAAGTTTATCGGCTGGAAAGATCCAGTGACGAATGCACCAGACACTCCGGCATCTCGGGCATGCAATAAAAGCAAAAGTAAAGGTACTAGAAGATATTTAATTACCATATAAAACGAATCGAAGAGACCAGCTGGCGAAGTCGACTTCCCGATTATAAACTTTTCCCATGCACCATCGCTAAATTGCGGGAATTTCGTTTAAAAATTTCATCGAACAGCCGCCGATTCCG